ATAATTTAACCAACATTAGTTGTGTTATTTATTCATTTTCTGCTTTACAAGTGCAGTGTGATCATTTTCTAGATTAGTCTTTAGGTTTCCTATAATTCCTAATTGATAACTTTTTTCAGTTATTCCTCAGTTTCTGCCCTGGTTGGCATTTCCTATTGTATCTTAACTTTTTGCAGCTGAGTTAACTCCATTGTCATAAGTCTTTGGAGAGTCAGATAAATGGCTTCCAGACAGATCCAGTTTTTTTCAGGGTAGTTTTATAATTTGCCGTGTAGTGCTAGTGTCCTGGATTTAAGGCTTAGTTATAACAGTTCTGTTGAGTTTCATAACTTTATAGGTGATATGTGCAGTTCTATAGTTTCAACAAGTCATGCTTCCAATAACTTTAAATATGTTGTGTTATTTTTAATTTCAACCTTTAGTATTGTTTGACAACTGTCTACTAGTACCCTGTTTCTCTCTCAAGCCCTGCTGATGTTTTAGAGATGGCTTTCGAGCTAAATTATTAGCATGCTTGCTTATTCAAGTTAGATTTCAGTAAAGGAAAAACACAAACTTTAAAAATTTATTTACTTATTTATGTGTATGTGCTTTAATTAATGCTTCTATTAAGATGTATAAAGAACTGTTTTCATTTCATGTGACGATTGTATTGGAAGTAAAGTGACATTTCTAGAACCCTTGAGACATTCATTGTAGGATTCTTGCATGCTTTACCAAAGAGATGGTATATTGAACTTGCTCTAGTTTTATTGAGGTTGTTCTGTTTCCATTAAAATTGTGGCTTTTTTGGGAACATGAATGTTCTGATTTATAAATAGTGTGCAGAGACACATATATTGAATATAATTTGAGGTACATTTCTTTGAATCAAACTTGATCAAGCCAAAAACTGAATGTGTGTATGATGAGATTATATTTTGTTTTTCTCTATAGATCCAACATTAGCAATATATACCTTTCTTGTCCTAATGAAAAAGGTTTTTAAAACCTTTGCTATTTGACTGTGGAGTCATTTGTTACTTAATATGTGACTATTATGCTTTTTAGATGAAATCTGTCAGTTGCACATTTCCAGTGAAGATGGATAATCTCTAAAAATTTAGGCTTTTGTGTATGTTCAGTGGTTAGTTTTTGGGAGGGGACTGAGTTCTTTTTGGATTGGTTAGTAAGTTATATATTTTCTTTTGTAATGACAAAGTTCATAATTTTTAATTATTCTTCCTATTTCAGCATAACATTATTGCCTATATAACCTGCTGGTAACTTTCACTTTTAACATTGGCATTCTCAACTTTAATTTTAAGCAGTGTTTCTAGCATTTTAATAACACTAGTGAGGGAATTTGAGGTTATGGGTCATAGACTTATCAGAAAATATCTATAGTATTGCTTAAATATGACCATGTTAATCTACATACCCTCTAATCAGATAGGTGATTTAGATTAATGTCAGCCTGTTTCCTACCCTCTACTCAGAGTTAGCTATGTTTATGTCATTGGTAGACTATTTCTGAAACACAAATGTAGAAGAAAGAATTTATTGGCTGCTACAACTAGTATTTAATTTTTTAATTTTTATTTCTGCATACAAGAACTAGGGTGTAGGCAGTGGTGTGGGAGTGGGATGATTAATCAGAGACAGTAAGGAGCAGAACAGGATCATCTACTGATATGCACTGCTGAGAGGAGCAGCAGATGAGAAAGGAGAGGTCAGCTGTGCCATGTGGATTAGCTCCCTGGCTGGGGATCGATCTCTGGCTGCAATGTCTGGCTGTAGCTTGATAGCTTGATAGCTTGAGACTTTATCCCCTGTACAACAGTTTTGTGTGTGTGGGGTGGGGTGGGGTGGGGGGGCTCAATTAGTATTCAAATAAGCCAACGAAATGGGACAGAACAAAGGTGATGGAAGATTCTGGAGAGATTTATTGACTCTCGTTGCTTGTTTGTCTTATTCATACTCTTTCTCATAACCCTCAAAATGTCTTGCCATTGTAGGCTTCCCATAATAATTTGTTGAATGAGTGAATGCATTGAAATTATAATTGCTTAAATACACAGGGAAAGAATTTACTGAGTTCTTAGATTTAGGATCAGGTTCCTCGTGCAGAGAATAATCAGTTTTATGCAGTGTCTGAAACCTTGTCTAATTGAAAGAACCTGTATTTTTACCTCAACTGTTAGAAGGTTCAGGAAAGGTGGTGGATTCATTTGTTTACATTATTCTTGAATGTGGTAAACTAATGGGGAGATTATTATTTTGTAAAGTATTTTGATCCTTGAAATATGAGATGGTCATATATGTATATGTATATGTATATGTATATGTGTGTGTGTATATATATATATATATATATATATATATATACACAGGATATAGATGAACATTTGTCAAATGTTATGTCAAAGAAGGGTTTGCTGAAGAACAGTTTATTGGACCTGCTGATGAGTCTTGTGATTTTAGAGTTCACAGATTGGATTTAACATGCACAGAAGATAATGAAATTTTCTGTCTTTGCTGAAGAGGTTGAGTTTATAGTACCTTTTCTGATAATACCAACATTCTTAAGAATATCAAAATATGGAAATAGCTTTGTTTATTAGTAAAAGTCAAGTCACTGACAGTATAGACAAGCGATGGTGAATGAAAGATGACTATGAGGAGATGAGAAAAGAAAGAACAATTAGAATATTACTGTGAATCGCCTGAACTTAGAATATAAATAAACCCCTCTATACATCAGTAGCCCCTGATAGAGCATTTTCCTTGTTAATGTCACACCAGCAAGACCTCAGCAGTCTGGAGGCCTAGGTATATATAAGAAGGAATCGTCTAGCATACCAAATTAGGTTCTGAATGTGTAGATTGGCATGATTGATGAAATAATCTTTCTAGTCAATTTAAAGGTGACTGTAAACTTGTTTTGGGTTCTCCTGCAGTTAGTAGTTTATTGAAGAAAACAGGTGCAAAAGCAAATAATTATAACTTGATCCCTATAATTTTTTTTTTTTTTGGATACAAATGACATGTATGCTGGACATCAGAAAATGAAGGAAACTGGATCTTAAAGGATATATTTTGAAGGAAAAAAGTAGCATACATAGTGGTTCTAAGAAGGTAAATATTCTCAACTAGGAACCTGACAATAAAGTTGATTTCTATTAAGTAATCTATTAAATTACCAAATATTGTTCAGAGCAAGGGCATTAATTTTTCTGAATGGTTTCTAGATGAGGAGAAAGATTTGGTAACATGTCAGTATATCTAAAAGGATGTATCAACTAGATACATAGAGTTTGTGTAGAAACTGAATGTGGGGCAAAGGAAAGTTGGAGCTAGGTACTTTGTCTCCATCCAATCATTGTGCAGCACTTTGTCTCCGTCCGATCATTGTGCAGGAAAATGAAGTACTCTTATTGTTATGGTTTGTAAATCCCAGATGTATACGTGGACATGCCAGGCAGTTATGAGCATGATGCTATTTCAACATTGTTTTACAAAATAAACTCCGCTTGCTCCAATTTCCTGTTCATTAAGCAACATTTTGATTATAATTTGTCTTCCTTATAAACTGATCTTCAGGGATAGAGTGTTCTGGTTAAGCTGACACAAGCTTTCTGAGCCTAATGGCAGTTATGGTTCTCATCGTAAACTAAGGTAGTTAGCTGAGTGACTTCTAGCTTGTATATTAGTCTTTTATGAACTTAATCTTACCCTAATGCTGAAGGATTACTCCACTCAAAGTACCAAAGAGAAAAGAGAATCTACTTCCTAACTTTACAAAATTATGATGCAGACCAGGATAGTAGCCTGAGTGAATTCATGGGCAGAAATCTGTCTCATGGGTGCCTGCTCCATTATAAAATAATGCAATTCTGGCAGAGTTGTACATATCAGATATATACGGGGATGTACATAAGCATATTTGAGAAATGCAAATAGTTAAAATATGAGAAGGAGGAAGATGAGAATGGTGAAAAAGGCAGAAAACTGCTCACAAAAGAACTATCCTTTGAGCAAAATGTTTCATTTGTTCTTCAAATAAATTTTGTTGGAAGGAAATTATGTGTGACTGTCATGCTGAAATACTGTTCTTCCCTTTATGAAATTCATTGAGGAAATTTCATTAATATTTTAAATTCAAGCAAGATATGTTAACCTGCTTGTGTTGTATTTACTAGATGGAGCTCATTAGCCTACTAGCTAACGACTAGCCAGCTATGAGGATATTTTTTGTCCACCATTGATGTTTAAAATTCTGGTGATTTCACGATTTTCTTCTAAGCCTTATTCAATGCATTTTGAATTTTTCTAGTAGTGTAATTATGTGATCATAATGACTGAGAATTGTTTGGCCTAGAGGGATCTTCCAAAATCTTGTACTCTCTTAAACGGTTGCTTTAAAATTCCATTTCATCAAGTATATTTGCTTACTTGAAAAAGTACCCACATCTTGCTTTTTATCAAATTTGAATGTATATATACATTGATAAACTATGACTGCATTTGGAAACTTACACTTTTTAAAAACTGTTGTTAGATATTAGATGTTAGATATGTTAGATATTAGATAAAATTAAAGGCGTTAAGACTAATTTTTTTCCAGAAGTGAAAGAATTAAGACTATATTGCCAATTTGCGCTTTCTGGTATTTTACTAATTTTTATTGAAAGTTTAAAATAGTTGGTGGCATAGCTTTTATGTATTAATGGCATTGTTATTAACATGGTGAAGGGTTTATTCAACTTCTTCTTTATGGCAGGGCAGGGTTTACAGAATTTCTATAATTCCTATGTGTCTGCACACCAGTTCTCTCAATGTCCTACTTCTAAATTCTCTATTCTGTATAACTTGACCCAGCTAATGAGTAGACCAAATATCTTAGTATAGAAGACTTCTTTTTTATATATATACTTCTTTGAGATGGCTATGCAGATATTATAGGTGTCCTTAACTCTACTTAACAACTAACATATTTTTACTTTTTATCATTGTCTTAGGAAAAACATATAAGCAATGAGGAAGAGCACTTAAGGAGGATGGAAGAGGCCAGATTGCAGCTCAAAGATCAACTTCTTTGCCTGGAGACAGAACAGGAATCCATTCTTGGTGTGATAGGAAAGGAAATTGATGCAGCTTGTAAAATCTTCTCCAGGGATTCAATGGAGAGATTTAAAGTAATTATAAGTTCTCATTGTGCCTTTCAGTTAGTTTCACAATATATAATTATAAGATCTTAATGCATATTACATGGTAACCGCACTTTTATTCCAGAAAGTTTTATGAAACAAAATAGCATCTTGTTTTTTTTAGAATGAACCACATATTATATTTTGCTACATAGACACTGAGAGAAAATGTGCTATTATTCCACTAAATTGCTTTTGTCACACTCTGTAAAAGAAAATAGTTCACAAGAATGGCAACAGTTCTGATTATAAGTAAAATCCTTGTAGTCAAGAGGCTTTTGAATTTTTCATTATCAAGGACCATTTTAGGTTGTTGTTGGTGTAAGATATTGGCTGACATCTGTTGAGTACAATTCAGTACTGTAGTAAGGAAGGTGTTGGTATTGAGTCTTAATAACATTGTACTTCACAGATAATGCTTATTTAACAAGTTGAAGGTTTGTGACAACCCTGCATTGAACAATATTGGCACCTTTTTGCCACCAGTTTGTGCTCACTTTTTGTGTTCATGTAACATTTTGATAATTTTTGCAATATTTCAAATTTTTCATTATTTTATGGTGATCTGTAATTGGTGATAGGTGATTGGTGATCTTTAGTGTTACTATTCTGCTTTGACTGTGCCTAGATAAGATGGAACATTTAATACATGTGTGGTTCTGACTAATCCACTGACTAGTCATCCCTGTTCCTTTCTCTTTCTCTCAACCTCACTATTCTCTTAGACACAATATTGAAATTACTTCTATTAATAACTTTGCAGTGGCCTGGAAGTGTTCAAGTGAAAGGAAGACACACATTTCTTGCTTTCAATAAAAGGCTAGAAATGATTAGTGGGGAAGGTATGTCAAAAACCCTTAATAGACAAAAAGCTTGAATTCATGTACTTAACAATTAGCCAAGATATGCATACAAAGGACAAATTCTTGATCGAAATTAAAAGTACTATGCCAATTACCACATGAGAAAGAAAGTGTACTTGCTGATAAGGAGAAAGTTGAGTGATCCAGGGAGAAGATGAATCATCTACAGCACCCCCTTACCCAAAGCCTTAATCCAGAACAATGCCCTGACTTGCTCCAATTCTATGATAGTTGAGAGAGCTGAGGAAGCTACAGAAGAAAAAAATTTAAATTTAGCAGAGGATTTTTCATCAAATTAAGGAAAGAAGGTATCTCCATAATAGAATGTACAAGGTAAAGCAACACCTTCTGACAGAGAAACTGCTGACTCAGAAGATCTATCCAAGATCACTGACAAGAATGTCTACTTTGAAAACAGATTTTCACTGTAGATGAAATAACCTTAATTGGAAAATGATGCCATCTAGACTTGTAGCTAGAAAGGAATCTAGTGAATGGCTTTCAAAGCTAGGATACTATTATTTTCTTAGGGGGCTAGTGCAATTGGTCACTTTAGTTGAAGCCAGTATTGATTTCCAATTAAGAAAATTCTGGGCACTTAACAATTATATTTATTCTTCCTGGCCTCTATGAATGGAAGAACAAAGTCTAGATGACAGCACATCTATTTGTAATATGGCTTATTAAATACTTTAAATACACTGTTGAGACCTACTGTTCAAAGAAAAGATTCTAAATGTTCTTTGACAATGCACCTCACTACTAAGAGCTCTGATGGAGATGTACATGTAGATGAATGAATGTTTTGGTGCCTGCTAACACAGCACCCACTTTGTGACCCTTGCATCAAGGAGTCATTTTGACTTCCAACTCCAGCTGTTTAATGCATACATTTTTATAAGGCTGTACCTGCCATATATAATGATTTCTGTAATGGATCCGAACAAATATTGAAAACCTCTTGGAAGGATTCATTCTAATTGTCACAGAAAACATTCATGGTGCATAGAAGGACATCAAAATACTAACCTTAATAATTCGGGATAAGTAGATTCTGTCATTGATTACTTTCAGGGGTTCAACATTTGCGTGGGAGACAGAACTACATATCGCTAGTTTACTGTTAGAACCAGGCCTTCAAATCTTGGGAGTCTAACTTCATAGCTTAAGCAAGTTGCCACTATTCAGTTTACCTTCCCTATTTTAGACAAATTTTATGTAATTTAATTTTTCTATCTTTAAAATAGAAATTACTGTTCAATTTTATAGTCCTGATTATATGATAAGTAAAAACAGAAGTGATAATGCATATCCTTAATATCTTGAAGGTTACTACCCTTATCAAATCTAGGTTCTAGTTTTGTTATACTACTTTGATATGGTATAGCCAGGACTCATTAGAGTGATCCATCATTTACCCTTGTATTTCATTTGATGAAATGACAGCAGTCAAATTATAGTATTATGCTTAAGTGCTTTTTTTTTTTTTTTAAAGTTTTCTGGTTCATTTTGTCATTCATCTGTTTCCTCCTAGAAAATTATCTTTCTCATACTACCTTCCATTCTTAACTTTTGCTTTTGTCTCTTGTCTCTTTCTTTATTGGGATTTTATGAAAATAAAACTGTAATTGATCTCTTGCACTTGAAGCTAAGGTATAGTATTTGACTTTAATGGAAATATTTCACCTGGTAGAATTTGGTAGAGTTCATGGAATTTCTACAACATGTTATTTTAAAAAATGTTTGGATATCAATCTCAGAAAGATGTGAGCCAAATGTGAGAATTATTTAGTTTTAAAAGAAAAATATTCTTTTAGGCTGCGATAACATAAGCATTATGAGCTTGGTTTATTGTTTTCCTGTCTACTGCTTTTTCAATTTTAAACTTGTTTACTTATATTAAAGAATGTATGACCTCAAAAATCCTAACTTCCTCTAAAAGAAGTGCATTTTGGCATGCAGTACTTATTTTACAAATATTCATGTATTTGTATCAGGGTGACTTTTTTCAATCAAGTAGAAAGATATGGAAATGAATACCCTTGGATCATACTAAGATATATATAAACCTTTTAATGGGCAATTGTAGGTTAAGTTGTAGGGTATGCTGGGTATTCTGTCTGAGGAACAATTTATCTTCCCAACATATTCTGAATAGCCCCCTATTCTTAGTATTTTTAGGAATAGACTGATTATGTTAATGGATCTTTACTCTCTTTCTCTAGAGGAAAATTAATTCAATCTAAGTGATGAGTGGAAAGTAACTCTAAGGGAATGAAAGTTCTGCTAGGTTAATTTTTCAAGTATTTTTTTTTCCTTTTGCATTTTATCCATTAATAACTTCTGTTGTCTTGTTCCTATAAATTTGGAAAAAAAAATAAATAAAAAGAATACCAAAGACCAGAATATTTGCTCTAACCACGAAGAACACACTAAGGCGTTTGTTGAAATAAAATTCTTTGCTTTAGAGTTCAGACATCTGTGGGATGGTGATGGTCTGTGTGAAATGTTTTCAAAGAGAATCACTTTGGTTATTTTTTGTCATTTCTTGATTTTTGAAATATTGCTGATTAAATTTTCTACAGTTATATGTAGAGAGTGACCGTTAAAGAGTGGAATGAATAATAGGTATGTAACAAATGAGCCTGAGAAGAGGCCTTGCAAGTATTGATATTATTTCTTATCTTCTCATTTTTTAATGACAAGTGGCTTTTATTTTAAAAGATTTATTTCATGTATGCATACAAGAGCTGTGGTGCAGGCCAGAGGTGTGGGGTGAGAGGTATTACCAGAGACAGTGGGGAGCAGAACAGGTGGATTGTCTGAAATCCACTCCTGCAGGGAGCAGTGGGAGAGATAGGAGATGTCTACTGTGCCATGTGGGTCAGCTCCCTGGCTGGGGTTTGAACTTAGGCCAACCAGGCCATCATGGCTTGCTGTAGCTTGATAGTGCAGAAACTTTAACCTATGTGTCACCAGGGAGGACTGAGGGATAGGTTCTTTTAAACAGAAAATTCATGAATGAAATCCCGTAAAAATATCAGAGGTAGAATAAGTTTCAAAGAAAATAGAAATTGAGAAAAAAATTTTGTTTACAATTATAAAATCACGGACAACATTTTGTACAGCTTTGCTTCAATAACAAGGCAGAACCAGATGGCAAGGGATTTTGTAAATGAGTTGGTGTGAAGCAAATCAGAGAAGCTAGTAGAGAGAACCTATTTATTGTGGGATTTTGTTGCCATCATGAAATATAAAGCTACTTTATAATGTTTACATGAAGGCCTGTTGATTAGTTTCTGCCAGTTCTACACCGCCATTAATGAGACAAAATGGTCTTCGTTGTATAAAATTAAGGAAAAATAAATGAGAAAAAGGATTAAGTTCCCATATAATTACATCAAACCCACTGTGAAATACATTATGTGGAACAAGACTGAGGAAAAGAAACAAACAAAAATGAAGTAAAATAGCTAAATTGAGACTGTTTGCTGTGCAGAACTCCAAGAAATCTGTCTCCAGAGATTCTAGCAGTGATAGCAAATGAGAATTGATTTTTCCATGTTTGTATCTGATCTAAATTTTACTGTCACTATACACATTCACACATACACATAGTCATACAATCACATAACATAAATATGACATAAATAATGATTTGGAATGAGTATTTGATATGAAATTCTTTTGAACCTGTAAGTTTAGAGGCTAAAATTTTGGATGTAATGGTGTAGATTTCTGTTATACAAGTTTATTTTAGAGGAAAATGTTTTAATATACTGTTCATTCTTTTTTGTAGGTTTTTTCATCAGGTCCTGATATTAATTATGACCCACATCGTTGGTTAGCAGAAAGCAAGGTAATAGACCTAAATCCTAAGATTGCAATTTTTTGACTTTCAAGACATCCTTTTTGGGTTACCCATCTAGTTTTGCCATAGAACTGCACATATGGATGTGTAATATTTTCCTGCGGTGTAAGATATCATTGTAGCGTATTTGAGAACCCTATTGATTCTTCATTTTAACATTTAAATATTAGCTTTTAAAAATACAGGCATGGAATGGGAGAATAAAGGAAGTTAAGACTGTTGAAACATTAAAACTAGATTTGCCAAACCAATTGTGCTTTTTTGTTGTGGTGCCATTATCTTGGAAGTGTACACTGGTCAGACAGCTATAACTAACCTCCATATTACACAGTATACTTGTGTATGTTTCCTGAGTGCCTGCCAAATCTTTTGTGGCTCAGACAGATCTCTCCACCTTTCGAGTAGTTTTGTTTCTAATTTTACAAAATGGGTGAAGTAAACTTGACATTTTGAAGATAACTTTCCTTCTTTTTAGATTTTTTTTTTAATTTGGCATTGTGATTTAAATTTAATGAAAAGAAAGAAAAAATAGAACAATTGGCTAATTTAACAATAAGATTCTTGTTCTCGCTGGGACAGTTATCTTCATACATGACACCAGCTTGGAAAATTATTAATTAAAATAAAGAAATAATAACCATATAAGATTTAGGTATATGTGTATTGAAGTATCAATACGTAAACATTGTTCATTTCAGGTTTTTAGTTTTAAGGTATTAAAATGGATAGCCTTCCATCCCATTTAAATTCTGTAAGGAAACTACACTATAAACCTGACCAATTGTGGTCCAATTTTGAGTCTTACTGCAAGAAAGTACCTTTAAGATTGTAAACTGCTCTTATTTAAAAATAGGAGAAAAGTAAGGTTTGGAAGGCTTGTAAGGCTTCCCAGGTCCATGTTAAGAATGAGAAAATGGATTAAATTTCATATCAGATTCATAGTTATGTCCTTACCCTCTATATATTTCCATCTTAAATATTTGTTTATTCAGCCATGAGTTGTTGATTGTGTACTTTTTTGGTGTCAGACAATGGGAATGTAGGTTTTAGCATATCCTGGAAGGCTAGTAGCAAAAATGAAGATGTAAACAAATTTTAAAAGTCCTTAAGCTGCTTTATAGGTAGAGAATTATATTGATATTGTCAGTGGAATACAGAAGAAAGAACCAACCATGATGTTTGTTCTCCTATCCAGGACAGTATGAGCTGCCAGCATGTCATAGAAGTCTTCTGTAAAAATGTGATATTCAAATTTAGCCATATAAAATATATACATGAGTTCCTCATTTGGCTAATCATAGCTATGACAATGGCCGGAAAATCAAGACTGAGTAAACACAGATACTATGCTCTGTGATAGGGACAGATGGGAATACTGGGAAGATTAAGTTCACCTTTGAAAGCCTCTATGCATTAGAAAAGCAACTGAAAACATTTTTAATAATAAACTCAGAGTACTGTCATTGAACATTAAATTTTACCCTATCTTGTAAGATTTTTCTCTCCTACTTAAAGTCCAGTGATCCTATGTATTCCTAATGTTGACAGAACAAAATGCAAGTATGTATTTATGCCACATGTGTAGAAAATTAAAACATACATAGTAAATTATTTTGGTGTGCATTTATAAAGTAATTTTTTTTCTTTTTCCTATTCCATGATTCCCACAATAGGAGCTATGTACTTGGAATTTTCTTTCAAGTTAAAATCTTTACCATTTCTGAATTGAAGGTTTTTACTACTGCTGTTCAGTTAAATTATGAGAGCCAGAGATGACTCTTCATCATAGTTCTTTAATTTGGGAACTGGTGACTAGTGTTCCCTTATCATTTAATAGGATTGAACTTCTGATCAGATGAGTTTTAATATTGCATGAGACAACTGTTTCTTTACAGTGTAAAAGGGTTGTGATAAGCAATGTCATGCTGACCCACTGACTGAGGAGGAATTGAATCTATTTACTAGAAAGATGGCTTAGGTTATTGATGGCCTACAGTATTGTAATTCCCATGAGCCATGGCAGACAGCTCTATAAGTATTGAAGATAAGATCTGAAATCAGAGGACAAAAACTTTATGGAAAGTAGAATTGCTATTCAGCTAGTTTATGTTGACATCTTGTAGTATTAGAAGGACCTCTGAGGGCTTTTTGTAATTGTTTTAATAAATCTGCCAAATGAATTTCTTCTGCTGGTGTTAATCCTAGACGAACCTGAGGATCGGTTTAGGGATTGTGTCACTTTAGCTTTGTTGGCAGTGGGACATAACATAAACATGAAGTTCAACTAAGAGTTGAACCAACCTTTCAGATATAATAGCCAGTGAATGGTACAGATAATACATTTGGGGGAGGAAAGGTTGCTGAAGGAATGTAAGGGAAGGAGTTCCAATAGATTTGGGACTTGCTTTTTGCCATAAATCTGGGCAAGGCATGTGCAGGCCAACTTTTATTTAGATTGGAAAGAATTTACTGAGTAAGTATTATGTCTTAGATGCTATATTATGTGCTGTGAACATAAAAATGAAATATGACACGATCCTTCCTCTTGAGGAACATGCTTCCTCTAGAAAAGCTATCACAAGGTAGAAAGTTTAGTATTACATGAAGGAGCTGTGATAAGGTGCAGAGGGCACTGTGGAAGCTGGTGCCCAGTGGTAGGTGGGTACAGAGAAAAGTGCTTCTGTGCAGAATAAATCATTGTAGGGCATGGAGGGAAATGGTATGATAGGTGGGAAGAAATTCCAAGCGATTTGGCAATAATACTTCCTGCAGTGTGAGAGTGTGAGAAAGCAAATGGCAGAGATTAGGCTGTGGACAGAGGTGAAGTTTAGATCCACAAGGAGAGCTTTGTCATTTGTTTTAAAAGCTTGGGTCCAGTTCTATATTTAATGGGGGAACTATAGAGGAGTTTTGTACAGAAGATTGATATGCTCATATTTTCACATTAGAAGCATCACTCTAAGGTGGGCAGACCACAGAAAGGCAGGGAAACCATTGAAGGAGTCACTGGTTTGGTAGGGTGAATGTCTCCATTAAAAACATAGTAAAGTGCTTGGCTAGATACTCAATATATGTCTTAAACAGGCCTCTTAGATTAGGTCTGCTCCATTTTCCTTCTCAGGGCACTTCATCAACTTATTTATCATTGAGGAATAAATATCAAGTAGATTAGATTTTAGGAAGTATATGAATTACCAAAATTTGCTTTTATTTGAACAGAACTATATACAAGATTATATAGGTAAGAAATATACTTACAGTTTTATTTGGGGACTTTTTGGAATCATCCTAAACAGTCAGTTTTCATAGTTTAAAGTGTTCCATGCATTGCCTACTATTTGCTTTTGTCTGCTGGTTTTGGAATGTCAGCACAGGCATGGCTTTAGAGAACATGCAGTTTGACTTGCTCATTTTGTAGACGACAGAGATACAGAGCTTTGCATTTTACCTAAGGACATACAGCTAATTATTTACTTGGGAAGATTTAGAATCAGAATTTCTGACTCTGCCATTGATTCTTTTCATTGTTTCTGCACAACGTAAACCTTCTATTAGTGACTGTTGCCTTTTGGTGCTGTAGATTTTTAAAAACAGTTACTGTGTGAAGTATTGGA